GGGGGGGGGATCGTGACAGCGGGAGAGGAGGAGAAGAAGAAGAAGAAGAAGAAGATAAAAGAAAAGAAGAAGAAGATAAAAGAAAAGAAGAAGAAGAAAATTTAAAGAAGAAGAAGAAAAAGGAAGAAGAAGAAGAAGAAAAGAAACGAGGAAGGAAAAATAAGAAGGAGAAAAAATAAAAATAAAAAATAAAATTGTCGTTGATTACTTATCTGTGCGAAGGAAACGACGACGATGACAAGGACGGCGCTGCGCAGCGACGAGGACGACGGGCATGGTGATGATGACGTGGCACGACGGCGGCGATCCCGTCGGTGACGATGATGACGGGGCACAATGACGACGATCGCGATGATGACGATGATGACGTGGCACGACAACGACGATCTCGACGATGATGTTGATGATGGCCAGGTGACGACGTCGAAGCAGGGTGGGTCAAGCGGGTTCGAACCGCTCCGATACCAGTGTAATGAGCGTGGGGCTGAGGGTGAGCTGAGGGAGAGGAGAGAGAGAGGGAGGGAGTGAGAGCACACACACACACTCACTCACTCGACACGATGGACTCGGACTGAGGGTCGGATGCAGACACAGTGGCAAGGCACAAAGTCGAAGTCTTGGATTCCGAATCCGAAACAGCAAGTCACACTGAGTACGAGTACAGCAGCAGAGAACTGGTACGAGACTGGTCCCCGTACCGTACGGGGAGCCGATATAAGTACCAGTGACACGTACGGTACCAGGGGCATTTCTGCAAAGGCCCCRAGGGCAGAACTGAAAAATGCAGTATTTGAAAGTGGCGCTCGAATTGCAGCACGGCGCCAGTTGTCCAAAATCCTACGGTACCAAAGGAGGGGTTTGGGAAAAGGGTGCCAGGCCGAAAACGGGATGCAGCCAAAACAACAAAAAGATAGACCAGGGATCGAGCCCTGGCGAAGTCCGTAACATGTGACCTTTGAGGGGTCCATACGGATGCCTTCAGCGGAGACAATGTGGCCGAGGTATTCGACGCTCGAAGCGGCAAACGTACATTTGCTGAGCTTGGCATAAAATTTTTGCTCTCGGAGGATCGAGAGGACTTGGCGGAGGTGTTGAAGGTGGGACTCGAAGGTGGGGCTGAAGACAAGGATGTCATTAAGGTAGAAGACGACACAGACTTCGAGGAGGTTGCAGAAGATGTGGTTCATGGTAGGTTGGAAGGTAAAGGGGGCATTGGTGAGTCCAAATGACATCACGAGGAACTCGTAGTGCCCGAACCGAGAGCGGAAGGCGGTCTTGTGGGTGTCATCCTCGCGGATACGGATTTGGTGGAAGCCACTGCGAAGGTCGATCTTGGTAAAGTACTTAGCTCCACGCAGACGATCAAGGAGCTCGAAAATCCGAGGTAGGGGGTACTTGTTCTTGATCGTGATCCGGTTCAAGGCGCGGTAGTCTTGAACATGCGGAGTTCCAAAGTTTCACCTTTCTTGACGAAAAGGCAGCTGGTTCCGAAGAGGGATGAACTTGGCTTAATGAACCCTTTTTTAAGGAGTTCACTAAGTTGCCGCTTCATTTCTTCAGCTTCGGGGACAGAGAGCAGCTATGGAAGGCGGCAAGGTGGAGAATGTCCGGGTTCGAAATCAATGGTATGGGATACGCCACGATCCGGAGGTAGTCCGACGGGTAAGGACTCAGGAAAGACGTCCTTGAACTCGTCGAGGATTGAGGTGATGGCGGGGTTGGAGGGGGGGGGCTTGACCGGGTTTGTCCGTCGGGAGTAAGTCCTTGGGACTTTCGCGATCAAGGACAAGACAGTAGTAGGCGGAGTCGGGGTTTAGGCGAGCCATGTGGAGGAATTGGTGCGTTAGTCCTCTGAGAAGTCTCTTACTTTGCAGGCATCTTCCCTTTTCGTTCTCTTTCATAGCCTGCAATCACTTGAGGTGCTGTTCTCACGAGTTCCTCTCGTGTGAACCAGCGATCTTCCTTGGGATCGAGGTGATGTCTGAAGCTCACACGATACTACATTCTCGGTTTAGGAGGGCGCCCTCTGCCTGATGGTTGAGGAACAGGCATCATTCGATGCTCCACAATCTGAGCGATGTCCACCTCGCCGTCCATGGTTGGGGGCAACATTGATCTTCTTGAAGGAAACTGCTCCGTAGCAGCGAAAGGTGCCAACTTGGAAGCATGGAACACAGGGTAAGTGCGTAGGTGTGCAGGAATACGGATCACGTATGAAGAGTCATCTGGTTGATCCCCTACAATATCCAAGATTTCCCAGGGCCCAAAATACTGTAGCATCAGTTTTCTGGATATTCCCATCTCCTGACCTAGTTCAGATGACTTTACCCAGACGCTATCACCTACCTGAAAGTTAGAGGGTCGTCTATACTTATTCTCAGATGTGATCATAGCATCCTGAGACTTCCTAATATGTTCAACGGCCTGCTGCACCATTTGTTCATATTTGACAGCAAAATCCATGCTGCCAGGTGCTGCAGTGGGTTGTCTTTCTGGTAGCAGAAAGTCAAGTGCAGTTCTGGGCTTCCAACCAAGATGTAACTGGTTGGGAGTTATACCTGTAGCACTATGCACAGCATTGTTGTACAGGCTGGCGACGAGTGGTAACTTCTCGTCCCAGTCATCCTGACTTGGCTTAATATAATGTCTAAGTAGGTGTTGTACTACTTGGTTCATCTGTTCTGCCTGGCCATTTGACTCGGGGTGATTCCCTGAGGTCATTTGGAGTTTTGTGCCCATCTGTTCAGCGGTTGATTGCCACAGTTTACTTGTGAATCTCACATCCCTATCACTAACGATAGATGTAGGCGAACCGAAATCACGTACCCAATTATCCATAAACAATTTGATGATGTGGTCAATTTTAGCACTTTCAGGCATAGCGATTAGTCAGGCATACTTAGAAAAACGATCCACTATAACGAAGATGTGTCTCGTTCCACAAGGGTGTCCATAAAATCCATAGACACACTCTGACCTGGTCCTTCAGGAATCGGCAAGGGCTTAATCAGCCCAAGCAGTGCCTGAGTCCTTCGTTTGTCCCTTTGACAAACCTGGCAGGTTTCAACATAGTCTTTTGCATCTAACATCATAGGGGGCCACCAGAATCTCTGTACTAAGTTCGTTGATGTCTTCTTGTATCCAAAATGACCAGTTGCATCATGGCATTCTCCTAAAAATAAACTACGCAAAGACTCACTACAGGGAACACACGGTCTTTTATTCCCTGCCTTTTCAAGAAACAGCAAGCCGTCTACCATCGTAAATTCATCCAAAGTCTTTTTATCCTTTGCCTTGAATCTACGGATGATCTCAGACATAACTGCATCTTGCTGATAGGCGTCCACCAATGATCGAGTCAAATCGCTAGATATGCCAAACTCAGTCACTAGTGCGCCCAGATAATCCGCCCGGCGAGACAACGCATCAACCACTTTGTTGTACTCCCTTGATTGGATCAAGTTGATAGTCATACATCTCTATCACTTGTATCCAGCGCTTGAGTGCGTCAGAGAGTACTGGCTGAGTCTTGATCCAGCGCAAGGTCTCATGGTCAGATCTCACATAGAAGAATCTGCCAAGGAGATAGTGTCTCCAATGTACCGGCGCTCTGTACAGGGCATAGAGCTCACGCTCATAAGTGGACTTAGCTAGTTTCTGAGATGGTATCTTTTTGCTCATGTACTCGATAGGTCTCAACTTGGGCCCCTCCTTTTGCGCAAGGACCGCGCCTATGCCATATTGGTTGGCGTCTGTGGTCACGACAAACGGCTTATCAGGATCAGGAAGTTTAGGAAACTCATAGTGTGTCAGGGCGTACTTCAGTTTCCTAAAGGCCGCCTCACACTCTTCAGTCCACTCCTAAGGGGTGTCCAGTCGAGTTAGATCTGTCAATGGGGAAGCTATAGTACTATAGTTCTTCACAAACGGACGATAGTAGCCCGTCATCCCCAAAAACGATCTGACCTCAGTAACAGTCTGAGGTCTGGGCCAGTCACGTATGCTGGCCACTTTGGCATCATCCAACCTCAATCCATCAGCTGAGATTTCATGACCCAAGTACAAGATCTTGGTGTGACCAAACTCGCATTTCTCCAAGTTAACCTTGTACTGGTGCTGTCTTAGGAGACCTAGCACTGTTTTCAAGTGCTCAGCATGCTCCTCCACACAACTACTAAAGATGAGAATACCGTCGAGGTACACGACGATGAAACTTGTCTAAGTAGTCATGAAAAATCCTGTTCATCGCGTGTTGGAACGTACCAGGTGCATTGAATAGGCCAAAGGGCATCACCACAAACTCGTACAGACCGTACCTGGTCTGAAATGCGGTTTTGTGCTGGTCCTCAGGTCTAACGGCAATTTGATGGTATCCGGACTTCAAATCTATCTTGGTGAAGTATCGGCATCCCTGCACTCCATCCAATAGGTCGTCGATGTGGGGTAGGGGCTCGGCGTTCTTAACGGTGATGGCATTGAGGCCCCTATAGTCAATGCACATCCTCAAGGTATCTCCCTTCTTCGGTACGAATAGGACTGAAGCGTCGTAAGGGGAGGTGCTAGGCCGAATCCATCCCTTCTCTGTGAGCTCCTTGAGCTGGCGGCGAAGCTCATCTAACTCCACAGGAGACATCCTATAGATTCGTCCTCTAGGCACCTTGCTACCTGGGACAACCTCTATTGCATGGACAACCTCCCTTTCCACCACGCCTGTGTGCTCCTCAAAAAGGTCTGAATATTGTGCGACGACCGATTCTATCTCTTGGGGTGTTTTAACGGCCTCCCCTTTCTCAGAGACAAATACTAGATACATGCCCTCCTCGCGATTTTGCTTATAATAGTTATAGAAGGATGATGCACACATGCACCCGTAGTTTTCTATTAGACTGCTAACTTTGAACTTTTGCAATCTAATCGATCTACCGTTGGGCAATTTGTGAATCAATACCTTTCTACCCCAGTCAAACTGTCGTTGCGCGACCTCGAGGTAGTACATACCTAGAAGCATATCAAAGGGCAGTTCGTCGCTAACTAGGAAGGAGATGTTATGGCTCACTTCCCCTCCTCCATAGGAGAAGGTACAGACTACGTCCTTGACATAGTCTTTTACCAACATTTGGTGCTTGTTGGCCAACGTAGAAGCTACAGTTCTGCTAAGCTGTTGCACTTGGTCCCCTAAGCGCAGTCTATCCACACAAGCACGACTAATGAAATTTCGCGTAGAGCCTATGTCTGCGAAGGCGCCCACTTTTCGGACACCTACATCAACTTCTACCACGAAATGTTCACCCTTTGGACCTCTACTTATCATCGCCCAAGAGTCCCTGGGGTCCTTCCCTGACCACTCAGTCTCTAACTCCTCTAGGGCCTCAGACACATCTCTCGAACAGAGCGTCAGTGGGTCCGAATGTGTCTGTGGGGCGATATGTGGGTCTCTAGCCTTGGCCAACGCCTGAAGTGGGGAAGGCAACGTTACCACTTCAGCGCGAGTAAGAGCGGCAAATACTCCTACTGGCCCGAGGTGTTCCCCTGCGAAGTGCTCGCAGAAGCACCGCCAGAGTTCGAAGAAAGTCCCACCACCGTTGGTGAGGCTACCCTCGTCAAGACTTTCTTGCCTCGGCACGTTCGAGACGTGTGTCCATAGTTGCCACAGTTCATGCACGTGCCCCTAGCAACTCGGTCCCTCCACACCTCATACTCTAAACCAAGTTTTACCCATGCCGGTGTTCCTTGGTCGCCCTGACCCGTGGACCGTACTACCTTCTTCTTCCCGGTCCCCCTAGCCTTTTCCTTGATGGGTGCCACGACTCCCCCATCCGAAGTCTCACTAGCCCCATCTTGCTCTGTCACCTCCCCAAGGTCTGGGAAATCGTCAATCTCCGTCCTTTGACCATCATGGTCGACGAACATCAACTGACCCTTCTTCTTCCAGTCTTGGGGAAGTCTCTTCCTACCATCATGAGATGCCTGATGCGCGGAACCCAGCTTTACCTCTATGTCCAAAGCTTTCTTACTAAAAGTACCGAAGTTGTGCTGTTCGACATAGGCCTCATCAACCAACTTGGTCCTTACCTCTGCAGGTAGGCAAAACGCACACCAGGTACCACGAGTAAACGTTCTACAGTGTTCGTTAGCTCTCTAACATTCTCGAACCTGCGGGAACAAAGATTGTTGATAGCATCGGTGGCCTTCTGAGCCCCTTGCGGGTCATGCCACCTATTATACACGGACCGTACGAACTCTTTCAACATCTGGGCCTGTGCCCTGGCATCGAAGTTTTGACCGTAGCCCTGCTGCTGCACTAAGCCATTCAACCAGCGAGCTGCTGACCCTTCTAAAAAGGAGGCAGCCACTACAACTTCCTGCTCTGGCCTGGTGAGCTTGTGCCTCACATAAGTAGGCACAGTCCTCACCCAGGTGTCTAAGTCCTCATCCTTCTTTCTATCACCAGAGAAGGGCTTGGGACTCATCAAAGGTATCTTAGGCATCTGCTGCATAGGCTGCATGGGCCCAGGGGCTTGCTGCAGCAGCTGCATAGCCACTGAAACAGGCTGTTGCACACTAACCTGGGCCTGGCTTGACAGTGGGACTGTAGTAACCACTGTCGTAGATGGTACGACTGAGACTCTATGAACCAAACCACCAATTGCTACTAAGGGTATGCCAAACATAAGAGAGAAAGTTGGCCCTGTGTGTTGCCGCATCGATGAGGGACCCACACCTGCAGGGGGAACTACAGCAAACTGTGGCTGCCTCATCATTGTACGAGGAGTCGGAAGTTCAACCAGGATTTGTTTCTGGCCTGCAAGCCAGCAGTTCCTGCTGGACATTCTGCGCTTCTGCCACCGATAGTAAAGCATTACGCAGCACACGAACAGCAGGGTCTAATGTCGCCTCATCTAGTCCTTCCAGTCTGCCTAGCTCCTCTCTTCTACTACCTAGTCTAGCGTTTCTCAGGATTGCTTTCCTTCTTCTCTCGACTGCCGCGTCCAATTGCCGCTGTAGCTCATCCTAAAGTTCTTTTGCTTGGAGGATTTCATAATCCTCCGGCGTAAGTTGAGTCTGCTGGCTGAGCAGTCTGACTAATCGACCCCTGAGAACCACTCTGGCTGACTCCTGACGAAGTGGACTGTGAAGAGGTTTGAAACATGGTAGATGAAGTAGCCATGGCTGCACCGGTGCTAGCTGAAATTCTAGTTCTGGCACTATCCTCAGCTGCCCTCACTCTCCTTGCCGCTACTCTCTCTCTAGCCTCTTTCCGCAATCTTCTCTCGTCTCCTGGACCTAACTCCAAGAAAGTCAAGGGTCGACTACGAGCAGTCCCACGGGTAGTCCTACGGTCGTCTACTAACAACTCCTCCTCACTTGTGCTTGCATCACTCATGAGCTACAGCGTGTGTGATCTAAACTAGAATCCACACTGAATCCTACCTTAGCCTGACACACAACCGGGTATAATACACAACTGATCTCGGTCGGCCTGAACAGAAACAGTTAGGTGATGTAACAACTAATGTCAGATCCTACAGCAAATATTATTTTTATTTTTAGATTACCCTAGAACAGATTGCTATACAACAAAGATCTAATTTGTCTGTAGTTGTCTGTCAGTTGTTACTCAAGTTTGTAACAACTAGATAATCAAAAATAAAAATATCATCTCCTGTTGGAGATGTATGCTTGATGGCAGATTGTCTATTGATTGCCACTGCAAGCAGTTACCGGAATCCCCCCTCCCCCTGTATCCTTCTTGAGTGGTCACTTTGTGTCAACGTCCTGAGCATCTGGTTGAGCAGCGTGTCTGAAAGTGTGCAATCCGGCCCTCTGCTGCCTCATCAGCTGCTGTCACGGCATCTGCTGCCAAGAGGGCGTCAGCTGCCAAGTCGTCCACAACTGCCACATCTTCTACTGCTTTTCCAGATGCAGGGCCGGCTCCCTCTTCCGACAAACGAAAGGATGTTAGTGGCGGACAGTCTGAGTCAACGACGAGGGCAACGGCGACCTCGATGAATGCAAAGGTGGGAAAGAAGAAGTCTGGGACGAAAATCAGGGGGCGGGCTTTGKCTCTTGCAAGTCAGTATCTCGCCTCATCCGAAGGTTAAGATCTATGGAAGAAGATGATGAAGGAGGAGAGGGGTGTTCTGATGGCGCTGCGCGCCTATGGCTGGTTGGTGGACTGTACAACGTTCCAGCCCTCTCTCTCTCTCTCTCTCTCTCTCTTGCCCGCGGTAGGTTTATCAAAGTTCTGAAACGTACGGTCATGATGGCCGTGTGTACAATGACAGTTGCCCAAAATGCAACTATAATGACTGTCATTTTAGACACTGCCATCATGACCCTACGCCTCGGAACTTCGATAAACCAACCCACACACACA